ATCGTTATTCACGATATTATTGTGTTTACTTATTTCTATATTCTCATAGGCATCTAGATGCCTGTTGTTGTCAATTTGTCCAACTGATGTTGATGAAATGAAGTCTATGGAATGGTTTTGTTGCAAAATATGATGGGCGACTGATGATATTTCTGGTCTTCCATATTCTAGGTGTTCCTTTTATCTTATTTTAATTATATGTAAGGACTGCATCGCATGAGGTTAATTTTTATGGTCACTTTCGGTTTTAACACGTGGAAATACATTAAAATCATCTAATTTCAACCCCGAAACGAAAACTTTGTTGTGTTGTGAAATCGTCTATAGAGACTGCCAATAAAGTCGGGTTCCACCGCAACCTTAGCTTTTTGAACCAGCCACGGATCGTCATTTTTATCACTTTCTCTCATTTCTTCTGTTGTATCATTGATTTCACATTTTGTTCAATATGTCAATTGAGAAATTTCTTCTTTTTTCTGTGGTTGTGGGGTTTGGCCTAATTATTTCCACAACAGAAACCATTTTGAATATCATCTCAAGTTGGTGAAACTTCTAAACCTATCAAATATTTTATAATTTCTTCCACAGTATAACGGTCTAATTTTTTTTTTCGCAAAAGTTACACATTCATAATATTGATTTGTTGAACCATCTCTAACAACGTGTTTGTTGAAACATAACTTTGCAATTTCGCACAGGTGTTTGATTGTGCTGAAGAGAACACAAACATTTTGGAACAAAATTCATTGATTTTCCAACATAATCTACTGGCAGCTCTACACCTTTCCCAGCGAAGTTCAGTGGGATCGATACAGTTTTTGTAATAACAACTGTCTTGCTTCTTAAAATAGCCATTAACTACCGACTTCACTTCTTCATCGTTGGAAAGTATTTGACCTCTGAGACATTTTTCCAAGTTTGGGAACAGAAAATAATCCGAGGGGTCTAAATCTGGCGAATAGGGTGCATGAGGTAGCAATCCAAACTTCAATTCGTTAAATTACCTAAAAGAACAATTCTATCGCCCATCAGAAAATAACTACTTCCCTGGCCGATACCACCAAGGGCATTGGATTATACCCGATAGGCGTCAGTGCAGGAATCTTCACTGAAGTTATTTCTGCATATGCTTTTGGCGATACAACTGCTGCAATCGATTTTTAATTAGTGAAACACACTTGCAGACGGGTGTATCAACATGAAGTCGATGATTCCCGATAATTGAAAATTCAATTCCTTCAGAGTATCATTTCTCGAACTATGCTGAAGCGGATGACAAACAACACGTTTGTCATCGCCCCATCTGCCTGTGAACGAGGTAACTAACCGCATATCGGAAATTTGCCCAGTTCCTCGTATACGGACAAAAACTTCACCCGAGTGGTAGAATAGCGTAAGCTAAACTCCGCCAAGATAAAAATAAAGACCATTTATTATTATTATTATTTCAAAGAAAAATTCGTTCAGGTCAGTTTCAAATTACCTTTAATTAATGGACTGACACCTATAAGAAAACTGTTACTCCCCTGGATAATACTACGTAGGCCATTGGATTATAGATAGATAGATAGATATACATTTATTGATCATACATCAATTTACATTGGATTGATAAGTGAAAACAAGACAATGTTAGAATAATAAAACAATAAAAACATTTTAGAAACATTTTCAAAGAAAGCAACACTGAAAATAGGTAGTACACAGTACACTGTTCATTGACAGTCGGAAATGAATTCTGAAATACTATAAAATGCTGTATATCTAAGATAACATTTCAATTTTGTTTTGAATCTGAACAGGTTTGGCTGATTCTTCAAGTCATTATGTAGCATGTTAAAAAAGTTTACCGCAGCATATTTGCCGTAGTTGACAATTTCCAATCTGAATTGGTTTCTTTGACGGGTTCTCCTGGACCACAATAGGTATAAAGCACTGGACTATGCAGACTTAGTCATCTTAGTAAAGGGTAAATACAATAATGCAGTGAAGGGATGCATACAGCAGGCCCTGAATATTATAACAAGATGGACCGAAGAAGAAGGGCCTAACATAAGCCCATCCAAATCGAACATAGGACCAAGAGGACTAAAACGGAGGGTTTCGGACCTCTAAAACTTCGAGGTGAAGAAATACGAGTGTCGGGGGAGGTTAAATATCTGGGAGTAATTCTAGATTCCAAACTAACCTGGAACCAACACTTGGACAGGGATAGACAACGAAGGGATAGAAACAGCTCTACATATCTTATGCGAATGTGAGGCACTGAATCACAGGAGGCAGGCAATATATGGACTAACAAAATTACGTCCAGAAGAATATGACGGACATCCAGCATGGAACCTCTACAAACTAGTACAGGGAACGAGACTGCTTTCATATGGAAATTACCTTTTTTGAGATAGTCAATGAAAATTATCCCACGCGCACACCAAAAATCCGATAACATGACCTTGTCTGCAGATGAAACGGTTCCTCTCTTTCGAATCCACTGTTTTGATTATTCTTTTGTCTCGGGTATAAAGTGATGGACCCATGTTTCATCCATGGTTATGAAACGACGCAATAATTCTGCTTTATTGCTGTGAAACTTCGCTAAACACTCGACTGAAATATATTCACGATACTGATTTTGCTCGAGTGTGAGCAAACGCGGCACTCATCTTGCACACAGCTTTCTCATGTTCAAATTTTCAGATNACACTTGTGAGATTTTCACTAAACAGCTTTACAGAAACGCAATACTTGTTTCGCAGTACAATATCCTCCTCAGGCGTCTCAGGAGTGAAGGCGAGCTTCTTCAGGCGTTTCGGTAGTAAAGATACGCCTGAAGAAGATATTGCATAGCAAAACACGTGTTGCGTTTTTGTAAAACTGGAAAACAATAAAGTGTTTCTTGAATACGTTATTCATTGATCTCAAATGCTCGAAGTTGAAGTAATGATGGAAATTTATCTTACAGATTTGGATCAATTTAAACTTGTTTCTTACCCATATCGATTTTTCAGACGATTGTGTGAACATGTCGTGTCGCGTTGATGCTGTGAGTCATTTTGGTGTAAACGTTGGCGATGTGATACCACATCTCGCTACAACCCTGTTGAAGGTGGTACAATTACTGGCAACGCCAGCAGCCCTATCAGTTTGCCTTGCTGGGGGAACTATCACTGGAGTAGCGTCGGAACTATACACATTTGGAAAAACATCTCTCGAGTGCTTCCGAAAAGAACATGTTTTCTAAGCATTTCATAAATATATAGATTTTGAACCGTATTGTATTATTTTCTAATCCATTCATATCATCGAATCAATTTTGTAAAGGATCTAGCGATTCGGTCATCAGCATGTTCATGAAAGTTCCTATTTTCATCTGATAACGTGCTTTGGAAGATATCTATGCTGTAAATTTTGCCTTTTAGACATTTCTAGAACAGTCTAGAATATTCGAAAACGTTCGAGAGTATTCAATAACGTTTCAAAACATGCAAGAATATTTTGAAACGTTGTTGGGTGTTCAGATATAGTTTGATACGTTTGTTTGAAGGTGATTGACAATGTTTCGTGATGAATTTCACTAGTTCGGACTTCCATTGTCCACCATTTCACTAGTTCGGACTTCCATTGTCTACTATATAGTTTGATACTTTTAAATGTATATAACGCTTTGATATATTCACGAATTTGTTATCATATGGTCTTCTGGGACAATACATACAATACCAAGCGAATATTCATCACTCAAAAAATGTTTCATGATGAATTTCACTAGTTCGGACTTCCACTGTCTACTATATAAAATGATTTGAAATCCCTGAAACTAAAAAAGAAGAATTAAAAATGACTCGCGGTTTCTTGTGGGCTTCTTCAATAGCTAGAGTTTCAAACCACTCCATATATATGTTGGCTATGACTGGTGAAAGTGGCGAACCCATTGGCAGTCCCTCATCTTGTGTAAAGTCTGGTTGAGATATGTTGACGACACCTTCATAATATGGAACCATGGGAATACTGAACTAGACGCCTTCCTGAAACACATCAACAGCGTGAGACCTTCTATCAATTTCACAATGGAGAAGGAAATCCACAACGAATTGCCATTCTTAGACGTTTTGGTGAAGAGGACCGACACTAAGTGGGAAACATCTGTATACTGAATTATTTTTCAAATAAAATGTGTGGAGATAAAATCGTAAGGTGTAGTTTATGAAATCACTATGGATCTTCATCGAGTAACTCGGGGCAGGTCAGTTTTGGATTCTACGTCTACTCACGTCACTGTAGGGAAAATGTCGACCTCTACAAACTTTTTGGTAAGAAAAATTATAACAATTGCGTCTTCAAAAATTACTTCAAAATATTGAATGAAGTATTTTGTCGATTACAAATTGGATATTACTAAGAATGAAGATGAAAATAAAGAATTCATTAACAGAAAAAAATAAATTCGAATCAATGTCAGACTTATGTCAGGTTTGTTTGAAGGTGATTGACAATGTTTCGTGATGAATTTCACTAGTTCGGACTTCCATTGTCTACTATATAAAATGATTTGAAATCCCTGAAACAAGTAAAAAAGAATAATTAA